TTCTTAAGGAGACAAAAGGTCATTGGGTAAGCAGGAAGGTGGATTTGAAGTTACATTCAGATCAACAATGATCTGTCTTATTCAGTGGCAGAGCAAGCTGCAGGGACCAGGTGGCCTACGTCCCCTTCATTTACTTCTACAAAGAGATAGTTACGATGCATGTCCACCACCAATTAGGAAGCCAATTATCACATACTGTTTGTTTTTTTAGACCCTCCCCCCAACTACCACCACCTAGAATAAACTTAATAGCTGTTTAATTTGGATAGAAAACAGTAGCTTGGCCTTTTTTTTTTGTTGAACCTTTAGTATGTATTGTAATAAAATCTAAGTAGGTCAACTGTAGCTTATACATCATTGGCCTTGTGAAATCTAAACCTTTTAACTTTTCTAAAATAAATTCTTCAGTTGAACAGGAAATTGATGTTCTGCAGTTGCTTTATATGCTGTGAAGTCTTGAGTCATGCTCATGTTATAAGTGATTTTTAACTTCTTACAGCAGTTTTACTCACTAGCATTGTAGTGTTGCAGTGTTTCATGTTCAAAGCTGGAATACAACAAAGTACTAGACATCTTGTGCTCACAAAGTATTAATTCATTGTTTGGCAGGGTGCAGTACCAAAAGGGAATGCCACTAAAGAGTTCATTGAAAGTTTACAGTTGAAGCCGGGCCAAGTGGTATACAAATGCCCCAAGTGCTGCAGCATCAAGCCAGAGCGAGCACATCATTGCAGGTAACTAGCAATATGAAAACAGGAAAATTTTCAATTCCAAACACTGGTTTCTCTTCTGAAATATCCTATGTTTATCATTTTAAAATAGAATAAGATTTGCTAAAGTCAATTTAAGATTAACATTTTCAAGGAACAAGTTTCAAAGTGCAAAGAACAGTACAGCACAGGAACAGGCCCTTCAACCTGTCAAGACTGCATCAGCACATGATGCCTTTCCAAACTCAAAATCTTTCATCTTTATGCTGTCTGTATCCCTCTATTTCCTGCCTATTAATTCATCTGTCTGGATGCCTCTTAAACATTGCTATTGTATCAGCCTCCTCCACCACTACCTTTGGCAGTACAAAAAAACCTGCCCCTCTCACTTGTTTAAATTTTCTCCCTTTTACCTTAAACCTGTGTCCCCCAGTAATTGACATTTCTATCCTGAAAAAAAGATTCTGACTATCCATTCTATCTGTGCCCCTTATAATTTTTTAAACTTCTATCAACTCGCCCCTTATCCTTTGACATTTAAGTGAGAACAAACCAAGTTTGTCCAATCTCTCTTCATTGCTGATACCCTCCAAGCCAGGCAACATCCTGGCTAACGATTTCTGTACCCTTTCCAAAACCAAAACTTCCACATCCTCCTGGTAGTGTGGCAACCGGAGCTGTATGCAATATTCCAAATGTGGCCTATCTAAAGTTCTATGCAGCTGCAACCTGACTTGTCAGATTTTATATTCTGTGTCCGACCGATGAAGGCAAGCCTGCCATATGCTGCCTTGACCACCCTATCCACTTGTGTTTCCTTTTTCGGGGAACTGTGGACTAATACGCATGTATCCTTCTGTATATTGATGCCATTAAGGATTCTGCCATTTACTGTATAAAACCGGAGAAGATCTTACTACTTCACAATACTGATGTTGCATTTTTTTCTTCTTGTCACAGATACTAGGAACTGTTCTTTTTTCAAAAACCTCTTAAGAAATACTAATCTTGAAGTTGTGTGAAGGCAGAGCATCTGATCTGTACAGAATACTGTTATCAGCATAACACTAAATATTGCTGGTCTTTAAGTGCTAGGGCTCAGGAAAACCTCATGTTCTTCCTCAACATTTTGCTGTGGCAAAATTTCCATTGGCTCGACTCTTCTAAAAAGTTTGATTTTGTAATCCTTGACTTAGCAGAAAAGCTACTACAAGCACTAAGAATTAGGAAATTTTCCATCACTTTCCACACTTGGGGCTAGAAGACAGGTCTCAAGTCTACCTCAGCTAGTTTGGGAATCAAACCTGTGCTGTTGGCGTTATTCTGAACCACATACTAACGATCTAAACAACTGAATTAATCACTCCGTGTCAGTAAGGCACTCTGAAGAAAAAGTAGTCGAGATAATTGAAGAGGATTCAGATCGGTGAAATTTAGTTGTTCAGCGCATCAGAAGTTTTTTCCCCCACCACACCCTGCCTCTTGCCAACAGCATTCTATAGATTTAGACTTTCCTCTTACACCAGTAAGCCATCCCCAAAGCTTGAAATGCAGTTGTTTTACATTGAGCAACTCTGTCTGGCTGCCAATTTGGCAACACCCATTCTGGTCAACAACAGCTGAGTACATAGGAAAAACGAGATGAATCATAATAAGTTGAGATATCTTCTAGATAGTTGACCTTTATGCCATTTTAATGTGGACATGGGTAAGAGAGGGAATAAGTGCTTTTTAAAAATCTGACTTCTAGTTTGGGATTACTGGAATAATAGGTGTTACATTGATTATTGTCTAGCTTGCTGTTAAAAAAAAAAAAAAAAAAAAAAACAAATCTGTTACTGAAATTCTTCTTAAATGCTCAAAATTACATTCCAGTGTATGTAAGAGATGTATTCGAAAGATGGATCACCACTGTCCATGGGTTAACAACTGTGTGGGAGAGAATAACCAGAAATACTTTGTGTTGTTTACAGTAAGTACTGCTAATAACGTTTTCAATGCTTAAATGCAGCCAAAATATTCTTCTTTAAACATAAGTTGTGCTGGAATAAAAATGAAGTGCTGAAGAAACACTGCAGGTTTGGCAACATCTGTGGCGGGAGAAACAAAGTTAAGGTTTCAAGTCCAGTATGACTTTTATCTGGAAATCATACTGACTCAAAACATTAACTCTGTTTCTCTCTCCACAAATGCTGTAGACTTGTTGAGTTTCTGCAGCATTTTGTTTTTATTTCGGATTTTCAGCATTGTAGTATTTTGCATTTCATAGGCTGGACTGAGTTTTGGGTTTCACACTTTTATTTTGGTGGCATTATGAACTCAAAGTTACTTCACCTAAGCACACTGATGCATATAATATTCAGGTAATCAAACCTGCAATGTATCGAGGAAACAAAACTGAAATTGCTGGAAAAGCTCAGCAGGTCTGGCAGCATCTCTGAAGGAAAAAACAGTGTTGATGTTTCGAGTCCGGTGAACCTTCTTCAGAACAATGTATCTATTTTACTTCAGATTCTAATTACAATGGAACATTCTGCACTGCTTGTTTCATAAGAGTCATTGAACTATACAGCATGGAGACAGACCCTTTCGTCCAACTAGCCCATGCCAACCAGATATCCTAACTTAATCTAGTTCCGTTTGCCAGCATTTGACTCATAGCCCTCTAAACTCTTCCTCTTCATATACCCATCCAGATGCCTTTTAAATGTTGTAATTGTACCAGCCTCCTCCACTTCTGGCAGCTCATTCCAAAAATGCACCATCCTCTGTGGGGGAAAAAGTTGCCCCTTGGGTCCTTTTTAAATCTTTCCCCTCTCACCTTAAACCTATGCCCTCTAGTTTTGGACTCCCTCACTGTGGAGAAAAGACCTTGTCTATTTATCCTATCCGTGCCCCTCATGATTTTATAAACCTCTACAAGGCCACCCCTCAGACTCCAACGCTCCAGGGAAAATAGCTCCAACTTATTCAGCCTCTCCCTAAAGCTCAAATCCTCCAACCCTGGCAACATACTTGTAAATCTTTTCTGAACCCTTTTACGTTTCACAACATCCTTCCTATATCAGGGAGACCAGAATTACAGGTAATATTGCCAAAGTGGCCAAACCGATGTTGCAGCTGTACAGAACATGACCTCCCAACTGCTATACTCAATGCACTGACCAATAAAGGCAAGCATACCAAACTCCACCTTCACTATCCTATCTGCCTGCGACTCCACTTTCAAGGAACTATGAACCTGCACTCCAAGGTCTCTCTGTTCAGCAACAATCCCCAGGATCTTACCATTATATGTATAATCCTGCCCTGATTTGCCTTTCCAAAATCACCTCACATTTATCTTAATTAAATTCCACCTGTCATTCCTCGGCCCATTGGTGCATCGGATCAGTTCGCGTTGTATTCTGAAGTAATCTTTGCTGTCCACTGCACCTCCAATTTTGGTGTCATCTGCAAACTCATTAGCCATACCTCCTATATTCACATCCAAATCATTTGTATAAATGACATAAAGCAGTAGATGCAGCACTGAGATAACAAGGTGTAGAGCTGGATGAACACAGCAGGCCAAGCAGCATCAGAGGAGCAGGAAAGCTGACATTTCGGGCCTAGACCCTTCTTCTGGCACATCGCTGGTCACAGACTTCCAGGCTGAAAAGCAACCTTCCACCACCCACCTCTGTCTTCTATCTTCAAGCCAGTTCTATATCCAAATAGCTAGTTCTCCCTGTACTCCATGTGACCTAACCTTGCTAACCAGTCTACCGTGCGGAACCTTGTCAAATGCCTTGGTGAAGTCTATATAAATCACGTCCACTGCTCTGCCCTCAGCAATCCACTTCAGTATTTCTTCAAAAAACTCAATCAAGTTAGTGAGACATGATTTCCCACGCACAAAGCCATGTTGACTATCCTGAATCAGTCCTTGCCTTTCCAAATACATGTAAATCCTGTCCCTCAGGATTCCCTCCAACAACTTGCCCACCACCGATGTCAGGCTCACTGGGCTATAGTTCCTTGGCTTTTCCTTAGCACCTTTCTTAAATAGTGGCCCAACGTTAGCTGACCTTCAGTCTTCCGGTACCTCACCTGTGGCTATCGATGATACAAATATGAATGTGCAGTGAGACTGTACTACCTATTTGTGTGCTGACATGCAAGAATGTAAAAAATTTTTTTCAGATGGCATTCTCATAGTATTAGCTAGAGACATGTGCATAGTGCAAGTACCATCCACTTATTTGTAACACTTCACTATGTATGTAAACCGGTTGATCATGCTGAGCAATTTCTCCTGGATAAAATGTAATATGTAATCACATTTCAGAAGTCTCAAACTAACAATGGTAGGGGATTCTACTTACCCATTTGTTAACTTAGGTTGTCGTAATGTGCAAGAAAAGGAGGGAACAAAATTCTTAAATTACATTCAGGAGAACTTCTAGCCAATAGTCACAATCTAAAAAGGGAAGAGGCAGTTCTGGACCTAATATTTGGAATTGAGCCTGGGTGGGTGAAAGACATATCAGTAGGGGAGCATTCTGGAAATAGTGACTATAATCTTGGTTAGATTTAGCCCATAATAATAGTCAACAAAGCTAACTTTTTAAACTCTGTACTCAAAAATGTCAAATAGATTTCAATGAGTATAAATAAATGCACATTAGTACAATTGTCAATTGAGTGACCAGCACCTAAATGGTTTAAATTGTTATAGATAATTTTCTCTTTGCTTAAATAAGCTACATTAACTTACTAATTCATCATGACCAGTATTAGTTGTTATTTACCAATTATTTTAGCAAAATCATGGAAAAGCATAAGGATGGGTGGGAATAAGCGTTCTAAACTAGGGAAAGGCTAATTTAACTGAGATAAATGTACAGTTTAGCCCAAGTGGACTGGGAGCATTAGCCACTTGCAGAGGAGTGTCAGCAATGGATGGCATTCAGGAGGAAATAGTCAGAATCCAGGGCAAATATGTTTCCATAAAGACAGGGTGGGACCAAGACCTGGTCCCTGAATGTAAAGGGGCATAAATGTTAGAATTATTATGCCTCGTTGGTGTGGCATGTTGGAAATCAGGTCTGCTATTCCAGGGATCATCATGAAAAATTAGTTTTTTAAGAAATGTGCACAGAAATCCTGAACTACTTTTTTGGATCCAGGTTAACAAAGCACAGACCAGGTTTCAGTATTTAATAATGGTTATTTATTACAAAGAAATTCGAAACACATATAAGTAACTATGAACCATTGGTATGCGGATGCAGCTCTACTCATTAAAACTTTAATGCCGTTATAAGCCCCTATGCACGCACAAAAACAGACACAGACAGGGAAGAATGGAGATTGAGGGCAAAGGGAAAGACTGGTTCAATGGTCCCAGTCCACAGGATTCACTTAGATTGTCCTTTAGACTGTTAAGATGTGTTGCTCCTTCATTCTCCTGCAGATACTGGTTCGCAACTTACAAAAGTCCCTGATTTATTGGTTAAGAACCACAGCTTACTGCAACTACTGAGGGAAAGTAAGCTGACTATCTTCAGGTTTAAGGTGGATTTTACTGCTGCAAAATGAGTGCTCCTGCCCTTCCAGAGGTCCAATGAATTTTGTCTGTCTTGTTCACACCCTCTAAGCTGTTCGGTTACCTGGGACCCAAACACAGCTGTTGGCAGGCAGAAAGCCTTTGTCATCAATAACTGGTACTAGTCTACAGACCAATCAGCTATTTATTGGTGGCTGAACCTCTCTTCTTACAAACCCCTTGGCTCTAGATTGTCTATAAAGTAGACTTCCATTACTGCTTGAACAAGCAGCTATGTAAACAGCACTTTAAAAAAGTGTCAGGTGTCTTGTTTTTTAAAAAACGCAGCAATCCAGCGATCCTTCAACAATCCTTGGTTTAAAAACAGTCCATTTAAGCCTACAATCAAAAATACAGAATAAAAAAATATGGTCGCTATAAGATTAACACAAAAAGGCTAAGGTAGATACCAAAGGCTAAATAAAGCAGAGTCGCTAGAGGAGTATAAAAAGGTGCAGGGAAAACTTAAAAAGGAAACAAGGAAAACACTGTGTAAGCAAGCATTGGCGTACAAACTGAAGGAAAAGGGTTTTTTAAAAAATAAAGAGCAAGAGAATAATTGTGGAAAGAGTAGGGACCAAAAAGATAACGTGGGGGGACCTGGTAAGGTTGGAACTGTCCTCAATAAATATTTAGTATTGGTGGTCACAGTGGAAAGGGATAACATAGAAATGGACGTTATTGTCATTTGTCATTTTCTTCGTTTTGTGGCATCACTTGACCTAGTTTTGTACCTGCACTCTTAACCTTAGGGGCATGCACTTTTGACAATTTACATGGCATCAACATTTAATTTTATGTTGTAATTCAAATTTAACTTAATTACTGAAAAAATTTTGTTCTGTATTTCAGATGTATATAGCTTTGATATCACTACATGCCCTTATCATGGTTTGCTTTCACTTTCTGTATTGCTTTGAAGAGGAGTGGACAAGTAAGTATCATACGGAAACTTAAATTAAATTTAGTTTAAAAAACTGAGCACAAAGATAGCCACCAAGGATCTTTTTAAGTAAAGACTTTTGTGTCTTCGTACTATGACAAAGCTTTATGCTCAAATATAGGGTGTTTGTAACTGGGAAATGGGTGTTTAAAGAATTATATATAGTTTTATGGGTGGCATGTGGCTCAGTGATTAGCACAGCTGCCTCACAGACCAAGAGAGCTGGGTTTGATTCATGTCTTGGGTGACATGTCTGTTTGGAATTTGCACATTCTCCCCACGTCTGCATGGGTTCCATCAGATATTCCAGTTTCCTCCCACAGTCCAAAGATGTGCAGGTTAGGTGGATTAGCCATGGTAGGCTGCCCCCTTGTGTCTGGGCATGTGTAGGCTAGGTGATTAGCCATGGGAAATGTGGGGCTACAGGGACGGGGTAAGGGGTTGTGTTTGGATGGGATGCTCTTTGGTCAGTCCCTCCAGACAAGGGGCCAAACAGCCTCTTTCTGTGCTGTAGGGATTTGACTAAAAAAGACAAAGGTTGTCCTTGCACTGGCATAAATGATAATGCTTAGGTAAAGCTTACACCTATGGAAGATTTAAGCTGCTTCTAATTCTGCCCTGATGATTTCTCTTGTGTCCAGCTAGGATAGGATAATTATCAGTTATCAGAATGGTCCAGGTTGGGTTTTTGCTACACCCTGCAGACTGAAGCTGCTGGTGTTGGGGTGATGCCAGTGGGGGTACAGTGGGCATGGGAAATAGTCTCTCATTTCACAGCTGGCAGTATGCTCTGTGTCCTCAATAATTGTAATTTTTACTTTGTGGTGTATATAATGCTTGTGTATTAGTGCTCAACTTAAGGATGATATATAACTCGATACTCTTGGTTCCTCATAAATGCAATAGGAAGTATGTTTGTGTATATGTAGAAAAGTTTGATTATGACATAGGATCTGTAGTCTGAAGCATAAACCACCTGTTCCCTTTTCATTTGTTGATTTCCTTGTTTTTTTCCTCTTTCTGATTTTGCAAATTATGCCATCTTCTTTAAGACACCTGTTCTGAAAGATAGAGAGTTGAAATCAGGACACCCCCACACTGCACCCCTCTTCTGTAGCAGCCTCAATGATGATTCTGATTTAACTATATTGTCCATCTGTTCCTGCTGTTTGAGTACCATACCTACTGTCAGGCAATGTCATCCTTTTCTGTCATTTAACCTGTGCCCTCCACCTTCCTGCAGACTTTCCCTTTTGTTCCTAGCTGCCCCCTTTTACCTGTTTTATCCTTTTCCTGCCTCTGTGCTTAAAATCTGTTACATTAATAAAGGTTTCCAATTGTAATGGATGTGCTGCAGACCTGAAATGCAAATTGTTTCTTTATTTCTCTGTTTTACTGCCTGATCTTGAGTATTTCCAGCATTTTTTACCCTAGTACAGCTGTGCTATCAGGCATGCAATTTTTTATAGTGCTACCATTCTCTGAAGATTTGTTAAAAATTATCCTAAAGGTATTTGGGAGTATTAAAAGAATGTTAAGGGTTTGGCTATTGCACATTGTTTTTTGTTAGCGATTGTTTTCCCAACAAGAAATTGAATGGAAACGTCTGTTCTGCTCTTTTAATCAAAGAACGCTACTTCTGATTTAATCATGTAGTATTTCTGGTTGTGTTTTGCCTGTTAAGGTAATTAAAATCCACTGAATGGTTTGTCCCTTTTCAGCAGGCAGAGGTAGTTTTTCAAAGCAATAAAGTATTGAGATATAAATAGTCTAAAAGTATTAACAAATGCTGTCAATACTTCATAACAATTAGATTTTTTCCTGAATATATAAAACTTTCGTATAGCCTCACTTAAAATGGGAATGTATGATTTTCATTCAAACCTATGAATGATTGCAGACTGTATGCATTCGTCATCAGTCACTTGCTAACCAGTATGATAGCCCACCTATGAAATTGCATGTCATAGGTTCTGTGGATCCTTTTGTGGCTGGTGAGCCTGATCCTAGAGCCACTTCTCCAACCACATGTTTGGCAGGTGTTTCCAGGAGATGGAATTGATCATTGGCATTGCTTTCTGCAGTTGCTTTATCATGCTTCCCCTTGCTGACAGGGCTTCTCAAAGAATTGGCTCCCCTCATTTAGGAGGGTCTCCCATGTGTTGCATTTCTTGAAGGAAGCCTTTAGGGAGTCATTGAAACACTGTTTTTTGTCGTCCTCTCATTCGAGTGTTTTACTTGAGCTGGGGAAAGAGCTTTAGCAGTTGGAATTGCAGCCTAAGCATGTGGCTGGCCCGACATGGTATACGTGGTACTGTGTTTGACATTGGTTTGTTCTGTCTACTTTCCTAGAATGCAGCTCATTCTCACCACCATCCACAGTGATACTTCTCATTCTACTGTGCTTTGAGGGTCTTCTTTTCCTTATTTTCACGGCTGTCATGTTTGGCACCCAAGTACATTCTATCTGCTCGGATGAAACGGTGAGTAATTAACATTTTCACTCCCTATCTGTCAAGAGCATTCATTGTATATATCAGTAAAGGATAAGTGAAACAACCGACCCAGTTGTTTGCTTATACATAGTCTGTCATTAAGGGGCAGGCACCTAGTGAAATGCTTTCTCCTAGGAAGAAAGTGCAACTGCGAATGCAGTGTAGAACAGTATTTTCAGAGATCCAAAGCTAGGCATTGACCTGATGTCTGAGCTGTAGAAGTAGGAAGGAAAGAAGGGACAAAGAAACTTACATTTGTCCAAATCCTTTTATCTTTTCTGGTTGCCTAAAAGCCAATGATGCCACTTAAAGCCTGTTGAAAATCCCAGCAGCCACCTTGTGCGCAGCAAGGTCTGCAACAAACAGCAATGAGATAAACAATCAATTAATCTGTTTTGCTTGGGAATGCTTCCTTGCTCTTCGAATTATTTACATTTGCCAATATGGGCCCTTCTTTTTTTAAAAAAAAAAAAAAAAAAAATTGGAGAATGGGTCCTGGTATGAGTTTCTGCACCTGCTTATAGGTTCAAATCATATGGTAAGCATCAGGGCGCAAAAGCTTCCTATTGAGTCATCTGTCTCAAAGCCCTCCCTTTTCCTATTTTTATGAAGAATACGGTTTCACCAGTATTGATAATAACCTCTTACTTTAATCAAGTGCTCATTCTTCTTTACATTTGAACTCCATGGGAACCAAACAGTGCGAGAAACTAGAGCACTGCAGCTGAATGTGACCCTTTTCACGCAAGAGTGACAAAGCAATCTGTCTCTCTCCCAACCAACCCCCACCCCTACCTTCTGTTTCTTCATCCCTACCCAACCTGTGCTATAATAATAATTAAATAAAACATTAATCTAGACTATGTCCCTAACCCTATTCCAGGACCATATCTCGCACTGTATTTACCCTTCAAGTCAAGATAGATTCTGGATGTTATTAAGTTAATGAGAAAACTGCTAATAAGTACATCAGTATCACAGAAGTTCACATAACTACCAATGTGTTTAGTTTCAATATAATGGTATATTCCAGGTCACTGACTGTGTGCGCACAGTTTAAAGCCATATTGTTACTAATGGGTAACATTCCTGTCTGAACCAGAAACTCCAGGTTTGAGTCTCTCTCCAGGTTGAGGTCAGGGAAAATGCATTTATAACCTGACCAAACTGGATGAGTAATGACCTGCAAATCCTTCAAACACATTGCCAACGACAGGCAGTAAGACTGGGAGAGATTCCTGGTCAGCCATTTAATGTTGGAGCTTCTGACTGTCACTCCTAACAATATCCGTATTCCTAGGCTACAACAGATATATAAAAGTATGTGTTGCCTGAGCAACTTGAACCTACATTACCACCGCTACAATTAGTTATCGAACAGGAAATGCAGTCGGTTTAATAAGACTTCCATAAGTCTGTTGTGATTAAGCTTACAATGCAAAAGCACAATGTCAGATGTGGAGTTAGAAGTATGACTTGATGTAAACTGTAATTGTTTTGTGAAGTTCCACTCTGACTCTTTTAATGGTCAACAATATGATTCTTGGTGACACACAAGTAATTTAAGTTTAGATTTTCTCACTGTTGTGCTCCCAAAAAATTGGCCAAATTTTCACAATAGGACTGCTATCATCAGGGCTGTAGATTTGAACTGCTGGTCACAATCAAACTGCATAAATGTTAGCAGTGGTGATGCATGTAAACTAATTAGTCAGCACTGACTTCCAAGAAAGTGATCGTTCGGACAGTATTCATCATTTGTTTTGCTTGAAATGAATATTAAAATCACTGTCACGAGAGGCGGCACGTGCAAAATAGATGTTTGAAAGATTGCGGTTTTGAATTTGTCTTGCAGTGAACTGCAAGCTGAGGGGTATGTGCGTGCACTGTTACAAAAATTCCCAGGCAGCTGGAAGTGTGGCCACATCCCAGCCTGAGTTTCCTTCTTGCCATGCGCCAACCAGAAAGCTCCCTTCACTCTGTGCCAAAAATATGCAAGATGCCACATGGAGCACCTGCACTATAATTTGTAATGTGCCTTCTGCTTTACCCCAGCAGCCCTCACTGCTTGAGGTCCATTGCCACTTATACTAAGACTACTCAAATGCATTTCGTGGTGTCTGTAGTCAAGAGACACAGGAGTCTTCGATTCCATTGATCTGGCCTGGATTTGTATCCAGGTTCTGAAAGGGCTTAAATCTCTCACTGCACAGCCCAGTAGCATTTTGTTTTATTTTAAACAGTGATTATATTCCAAGGATTTGAATATGTATCTGTTAATTTAAAAAAAGCCACCAATGAATACCTTTCAAAGTTGATCAATTAATTTAGGATAGCTAAGCAAATTTTTAGTAGCGATGACCATTTTTTCCCTTGCTAGCCATGGGTTTTATCAATCTCTGATTTGCAATTCCAGATTTCTGAACATAAAGGCTCAAACATCATGATGAGCATTATTAAAGCAAATCTACCTTTCTTCAAAGTGCAGTGTCCTCCTTGCACATTGTATTTCCCATTCAGAAAAATAAACTGGTGATTAGCCCAGCAGTGCAAGCAAGTGGGGGTTCATTGTTTTGGAATGGGTTTGCAGCTTTGGGATTAGTTTTCATTGCAGTTCATTTGTCTTTGAATTGTTTCTAGATTGCAGAACTACTGTATAAATCCAAGCTAGTGCGTGATGGACTTTAAAGCCTTTTTGATAAGTTTCCTTAAGATAGACTGATTAGTAAAGTTAGATCACATGCGATTCAGGGAGAGCTTGCCAATTGGATACAAAAGTGGCTTGATGGTAGGTGACAGAGGGTGGTGGTAGAGAGTTGTTTTTCGGACTGGAGGCCTACAACCAGCTGTGTTCTACAGGGATCAGTGCTGGGTCCACTCATTTATTTAAACCATTTGGATGAGAATTTTAGGAGGTATGGTTAGTAAGTTTGCGGATGACACCAAAATTGGTGGGATAGTGGACAGTGAAGAAGATTATCTAAGATTGCAAAGGGATCTTGATCAATTGGGTTAATGGACTGAGGAGTGGCAGATGGTATTTAATTTGGATAAATGCGAGGTATTGCAGGGTAAAATTAGTAAGGGAAGGACTTACACTGTTAATGATAGGGCCCTGGATAGTGTTGTTGAACAGACACCTAGGGGTTCAGGTACATAATAGTTCTTTGAAATTTGCATCACAGGTAGACAGGGTGGTTAAGGCGTTTGGCACACTTACCTTCAATGTTCAGACCACTGAGTATAGGAGCTGGGACATCATGCTGAGGTTGTACAGGGCATTGGTGAGGCCACATTTGGAGTATGGTGTACTGGTTTCCCTGCTATAGGAAGGATATTATTAAATTGGAGACAGTACAGAAAGATTTACCAGGATGCTGCCCGAACTGGAAGGTTTGAGTTATAAGGATAGTCTGGGACTTTTTCACTGGAGCATAGGAGGTTGAGGGGTAACCTTTATGGAGGTTTATTAAATCATTAGGAGCATAGATGAGGTGAATAGCCAAGGTCTTTTACCTTGGGTGGCAGAGTTCAAAACAAGGGTGCATATTTTTAAAGTGAGGGGGAAAGATTTAAAAGGGACCTGAACCGTAACCTTTTCAGCAGAGTGTGGTTTGTATGTGAAATGAACTGCCAAAGGAAGTGGAAGGTGGAGGTACAGTTACAACATTTAAAAGGCATCTGGACAGATACATGAATTGGAAAGGTTTAGAGGACGATGGGCCAAACAAAGGCAAGTGGAACTAATTTAGTTTGGGAAACTTGGTTGGCATGGCTGAGTTGGACTGAAGGATCTGTTTCTGTGCTGTACGACTCTGACTCTAAATGTGTGCCTGGCTGAAAGTCTGACTGAACTTGCAGCAGTGTTGACCGTTGTGAAAGATCTCCAAACCAGCTGGCCCTGTGTCTTGCAAACAGATATTATATTAATATGTGCTCCTGTTGGGAAATGAATGGCTGGGCAATGATGCAGATGCAAAAAGCAGATAGGTAATCACAACATTTGGGACAACAGTTTGTATGTCATGCTCCATGTTCAAACACAGCTGGGAAACTGTCATTGTTAGATAGGTGGTCCATAATTTTTTTAGGTGGTACATCTCCAAGGGAGAGTAAAATATAGGCAGACCACTGCCAAACATTGAAACGGTGCCAGTCTTTTTACTGAGAGGTCATAGTTTTAGGATTAGGGGTAGCAGATTTAAAACAGATGAGAAATTACTTTGAGGGTGGTTAATCTGAGGAACTCGGTCAAATGGATGCAGGGACATTGAGTGACTTTGAGGAGATAAGCAGACTTTTAATCGGTAATGATTTGAAGGGTTTTGGGGAGCAGGCAAAGTGGGTTTGAGCTATGATCACATCATGTTTTCATCTGTCTGGGTCTGAATCTGTTATTCTCTCCCTGTATTTGTGACTCTTTCTCTCTTTCTCCTCCCTCTTTTTCTGCTAACACCACCCCCACCCCCCTCAAAACCCACCTTAGACCAAGCATTTTCACCTGACCAAATGTCCTCATATTTGGCTTAGTGTAAATTTGTCACCTTATGTTCTTGTGGAGCCTCTGGAGATGTTTACTTCTGTAAAAGGCAACTCATGAATACAAGATGTTGTTTATGTGTACCTATCAGCTATTTGATGTTCTAGGGTTATCTTTCTAAATTTCAGTGCTTTGTAGTTGTAGCAGTTTAATAAGGCTGTGCTCAAGTATGACAGATCATTTTCATGTAGTTTTCTATATATAGTGATAAGTGACATGCGTATGCTCTAGTGATTTTATTGATTTGAAATTTTCTCCTATAAAGGTGTATTTAAAAATGTGGTCAATAGTTGGATTGATGGCATAGCATCTCAGTGCCCAGCTGTATTGCATCATGATAGAACATTGTGGCCACCCTTATTAATTTCCCCTCATCTAGTCAGTGGCTAAGTCCCAACCAGGCCACCTGGAGAGGCATTCCTTCTGAATGGTGGTGGGAGGAGAATTTGAAGTCTACCTACATTGCTGTTCCCATTTTGAAGTGAGTTTGACCAAAGACTGGGGAACCAATCACTTGGGCAGCCACTTAGTACAAGGTGAGAGGAATAGCATTTGTAAATAGGGGTGGTGGGAGGGGGAAACTAAAAATTATACTATTAACTACAACTATTTTGGGTTTTTTAACTGAAAATTTAATTGGATGTTCAGTTGAAATATCAGTGACCTTTGCTGATTGTATGTTCTGGTGTACTGTTTGTAGTGGGTAGAAAAGTCCTCCTCCCCCCAAACTTACCTACATGATTTAAGCTGTTCTATTTCTGTTTCCAGGGAATAGAGCAGTTGAAAAAGGAAGAGAGAAGATGGGCTAAAAAAACAAAATGGATGAATATGAAAGCTGTGTTCGGTCATCCATTTTCAATAGAATGGCTCAGTCCATTCGCAACTCCAGATCAAGGGAAAGTAGACCCGTACCAGTATGTGGTCTGAGTCATCCTAGGCCAGCAATCCAATTCAAACTGGTTACTTAATAATTTTCACAAGTACCAGTCATAACTTAATATATAAGTTATTTACAAATGACTGTATCCTTCCTGATCCACGTGTTGTTTAAAAGCATGGATGATGAAAAAGGTGCACACCATGGTTCAACTTTATTCCTGCAGTCTCTGATCCGTGAAAATAATAGGACAGTAAAACAGTAAAATGTCGAACTTCCTTTTCTCCTACACTGGGATATTGTTTAATATATGCAGGCTTCTAAAGTCTGCAGTTCTAGCTGTAAAATTGAAATAAAGAAAATTGAAGAAAATCAAGTGACTGAAGGTACTGTTAAGGATCAGACATCCTTCTGAAACTTCAGGATACATAATAGGGTCTGCATTAATTTTTTTGACTTATTTTCTTGATTTGCCTATTGATTTATACATTAACATTCTCTAACAATTACAGTACTGAAGTATAATCTGTTGCCTTTATTAACCTGGTATTACTGTAATTATTGAGTGCTATGAGGTGTTCCTTAGGTGTGCAAATGCTAATCACAGATGAGATGAAACTGCTTGCTTAAACCTTACTGTCCCTACTCCGTAGCCTTCTAAATCCTGACTTCCTGATCTTATTCTGTCCTGTATTTGCTCTTGTGTAATTAATTTACGTTCTGGTTCACTTAATCCTTAGTGGGAGAATGGTGTGCCCTGGCCTTGCCCTCTGTGTTGGTTTTCTCGCATGATCTGCATCATACCAAAGAAGCAGATGACCTTCCTTGTTAAGAGGAAGTCACTTGGCTTATTAAAAGGACAGATACTAAACAAATCTAGTAGAATGAAGATTGTTAATCAAGGTTGCAGAAAGAACTTTTGATGCAGGGGTGTATCAACTGATATTGGTTCACACCTGATGGCATTGCTGTCTCCCCACTTATTTTCATGGTGTCCTATGAATGTTCATGTTTGTGACAAGGGAGTTCATCTAATTTATATGGCCATCCATGTTTGTGATGCGCCAAAATCATTGTTACATGGACTGCCAACATGACAATTTCTTTTGCATCTTTTTAGGATGTTAATTTTCATATCACTTTTGTCTGCCCATCTCCATTTTCCTCCTCCTTACCATGTTAAGTCTATATAAGAGAATATGCTGAGAATCTTTAGTTACTAATCCTACATGCTTCTCCATAATGTTAGACTATTTATTGCTCAGTGCTGTCCTGTATAAAATTTCTCATCTCTGTTTGCAGTTTTCAGCAGGCAGAGTAAATTCAGTCTTCCAAACACTCTAGGCAAAATGGCTTTTTATAAACATTCGGAAGTTACATTTAAAAACATGACTCTTTTTTAAAATTTTTTTTTTAAAAAAATCCCTCTATTACCTCATTTATTTTTAAACATTTTTTGTGGATTTTTTCAATGTTTTTTCCAAGCTGTCATTTCTTTTCTTAAATTGGAACGAGGATGGCCATTCAGTTGCTCAGGACTGTCCCACCATTCATTTATCTTATCCAACAAGAATGTATTGATTTCTGTCTTCTTACAATTTCAATTGAACCAATGTCCAGTGTTAGTGAAAACATTGCTTCTTGTCACGTCAATCCACAAGTACAACTTAGAAAGGTCTAGTGTTCAGATTCGTGAACGGGGATTGAAGTGAAGTGATTCCTAGGGATTGGTGTTGACCTTGTTCCTGACCAACCCTGCCAAGTAGCAAGCTTTCTCACCATTCTGTAGCAATGTTCCCTTGTTCACAATCTGTTGGTGCCATGAACAGTTAGAGGGCTTTATTCAGAATAGGTTAATGTTAGGGCTAGATCAAACTTTTGTTCACAGAATTCTGTTTTGTCTTAGTTTAATTATTTACCTCCCCAGCATTTTTTAATTTTTGTTAATTCTTGATGCGTTTAGTTAAGTTTATAGACATCATCCATGGGTAGATTTAAAAAAAGGGCCACAAAATAATTTAAAATTACATCTTTGAATCTCAATTTGCTCAATCCAATGGCTGTCTAAATGCATTGAAAACCTCTTACTGAAACCCCAGTAAGGTGGTCAGCCTCAACGAAAGTAGTTTCTGAAGCTCCCCAGAATAGAAAACAGGAAAATCCTGTTCCTTTTTTATTGTTTTTTAGCACTGCAATGTAATTCCTACATTGGATAGTATAGTAATGCACTCAAGAATCATTTTAAAAACTGTCACTTGCCAAAGGTTCTGCCAGGGCAGGTAGTATATAAACAACAGTACCCTAGCATATGTGTGCCTCATAAAGGTTGGTAAAAGTAGTAGACTGTAGTTTGAGGACTGCTAATATGAAGTTTTTGTTTTAAAACTGGTCAGAATTAGAGGAGTATCTCAACAGATATCACTATTGTCTTTGTATATCAGTGGGATTTTGGGGAAATTCTGTCTTCTGATAAATTAAAGAAGATTTGTGTTAATACAGGTGGACACTTAAGTTTTTAAGTGAGAGAATTCTGGCTCTTTAAAATTCAAGACCTGAGACATTGGTTGCTTTAGGAGTTGAGCAGTTCTGAAATTGGACTGTAACCTTGATGTGGAAATGGAACTCAAATAAACAAATTGAGCTTTTGTTTAAAGAAAGAATGTTTAAAATTGCTGTGAAAGGATGTCACCTCTTGCAATGCTGGAATATGGAAAATGAATATTTGTTGACTACTTTGGTAGGCCAACAGAGGCATTACTTAAAATCAAGTCAACAAATCTCGAGGTTTTTAATCTTGCATTAAAGCTGCCAATTGAATTAGCTTTGCAGAAGTAATATCAAAATGATTTACATGTTTTGTGTTATATTACAGCATTGCCAAAAATGCAGTTAAATCATTATTTCTGATAACCTTGTGTCCTCTATGTTGGGGAGGAAAAGAAACTACATCTGAAGAATGCATTTAATGTGGGGCTTGGGATTTTGTGTTTGTCCAATTGTTTGCTTTAGATGCAATCTGAATACTGTGTGAGATTTGGGTGCTATTACTGAATAACTAAATAAAACATTTTACAAATACTTTGTGTAGTGTTTGGCTTTAGCTGGTGTTTACTGATCTGAATGACTAACAATACTAACAGGAAAAGAAAGGTGAAGTGTCGAAGGTCTTTCACATGTAGGGTTATTTCAGTCACTAGTTGAAATTAATCTGTTCAGTATAGAGTTGTTTGAAGCTGAAAAGGGCATACTAGGAAACTAATGAAAAACATAAAGGTGTATGTATTTCACGGAACATGCAATTGACCCTCTAGTTACACACCAAGTACCTGATCTTTCATTTACGCAGGATTTTTTGACTTTGGGTGGGCAGGGCTCATCCTTGCTACACTGTAGCTGTTCAGGCTAAACTTACTAAATGATGGATCCAGAATGTCTTATTGTCAGTCCTTAAGAAATAAGATTTGTCGGGTTTTTCTTGTCCATTATTTTATATTGATTCAGCAATCGTATTAAACAAAATGAAATACATCCATACTAATGACACTTGCCAGCCTGGGAGATGAAAGATTGTGGCTATGCTTAAATTCTGCTGCCTTCGGTTTTACCAAAATTGCCTTCCACCAGTCTATTCATTTTTTAGTTACTTGCCCACAACCTACTTTTAGTCTCAATTTGTTTGGAACTGCTGTTATCCACTTTGTCTGGTCTTACAGTACAGACAAGGTTACTTCTTTCACTACTTTTACCTTCCTGCAACTTTGGCAATCCTGTTTAACTCTTACATTTTAAATCAGCCTGTCAAGGCATATTGTGAAAAACCTGTGGAGCAGGTGGAACTTGAATCCAGGCCTCTTGCCTTAGCGGTAGGGACACTGTCACTGTGCCACAAGAACCATTTGCTTAACCGTTATAAACTTAGATGCTCCTCAGTTTTATGATGCAATTCTTAACAACAGTCATTGTATAAAAGCATGCAGTTAATTCTAGATTAGTTATCTTGCCCTGGCTAACTGCAACCTTATTTTTAAGACCTGTATCTATTTGCTTGTCCTGCTTTTGGCTTGTCAAGATAGCTGCAGCCTAGGTTATTTTCAACCAACACTCCATAACCTGTTCACCCAGGCTCGAAAGAGGTCTGCCTTTTAACAGAGGATTTTCTTTAATAGCATGTGACCTCAACTAAAGGCCCACCAAGGTAAATGCCCTGTCAATGCCATGTTATTTTTGAGGTGAGGAGGAATGAGTAGGAGGTGGTTCCACAGCAATCTCAGAATACTCCTGGCAATGCTATGCAGCTCCTGCCTGCACTGTTACATCTTGGTCTAACCTTGAATTAGCAACAGTTTGGCCCAAACAGATCATCACCAAAGAGCAATGTCTGAAACAAGTTTATCGTAAATTGGTATTTCCATATTGCTAAGTCTCATTTTGCAATGCAAGGAAACTGACACACATCCTTAACCACTTTGCAGGCAATTACATTAATGCAATTTTAATGATCACTTTTTGCTTTTGTGACTTGTTTGAACTATTGGTTTCTATTGGGAGCCCAGTATTAGTCACACAGTTTACTGAAGCAATAGAGTAAATGTTCAACCAATGCTGTATAAATATCCTCCGTATTCCCGGATCATAGCAATGAGGTAAGCTGTTCAGCCCCTCTAGCCTGCTTCCCCCATTCCACTAGATTGTGGCTGATCATCTATCTGGGTTGTTTTCCTACACTATCCTCATATCTATTAAAATCATTTAATCCAGAAATCAATCAAACTTTGTCTTGAACATAATGATTGATCTTCCATAACCCTTTGGGGTAGAGAATTCCAAAGATTCACCACCTTCTGAATGAAGAGATTCCCCTTCATCTCAGTCCTAAATACATTGCTCCATTATTCTGAGACCCTCCCTGGTTCTAGGACCCTTCCCACCCCTCAAAGGCAAAGAAAGTAATCTTTCTGTATCTACCCTATCTATCTCTAAGAATTTTGCTCATTTAAATTGGATCGTCTCACTTTCTAAACCTTAGAGAATACAGGTCCTACTTCCCCTCAAAGGATAATCTCTTCGTCCCTGGAATTATTCTAGTGAACCACTATCTCTCCCTCTACAGTGTGTCTTTCCTTGGTTAAGGAGACTAAAACTTCATTCAATGCTACAGGTGCAATCTCGCCCATGTTGTATGAAATTGAAGCAAGACATCTTCCAATAATAGTCAACATCCCATTTGCCTTCCTAGTCTCTTGCTGCATTTTAGGTTTCAGTGACTTTTAAACAAGGACACACTGACTTAACTGGCACACCCAGCAAGGCTTTAAACTCCCGATCACTATTTTAAGGTCATTGCTGGAAGTGAGGACAGGATTATGTTTAACGTTCCTGTTGTTGTCCTGTGTTTGACTACCCATAAAAAACATATGCCTGGTAACAAAGAATGGCCATTCGAGATCCAATTCAATACAGTGCGTACCCCCTCCAAGTAGAAAATTGAAGGGAAGGGAATTAGTTAAGATGCAAGTTAAGCCATGTGGACCCTTGTTCTGAAAGTGTTTAAAATTGGAGGTACTGGCAAATCCTGCTCACTGCTATGCGCCATTTGTAGTATGTCACCATCTCCTACATTCCTGTTGGAGCATGTTAGAAATATCCATTACTTTGGATAAGGTAAATCCTGAAACTGACTTTATATTTAGCTAACAGGATCAGCGGTCATCATAAACTAATTAACCAGTGAAAACCAAGTTTTATATTACTAAGTTAAATATTTAATGAAACCTCATGGAATGGTGCATACCTGAAATGTTTTGTTAGGCAAGGTAAATGTAGTACAAATTTTAGGAATGGGAGATAGAATGTTGGAGGTTATGATCACTTCTCAATGTATTTGTGTTGGGTGGTCTTGCACCTTGTAGTTTTCATTTTTGTGGCTACACCTTGATATCTGTTAAAGATTACTTACTGCATTTGATTCCTTTTTCATATCAGTAGTTGCCTCATCCAGGGATTGGTTTATACAGAAAAGAGACTACTTTACTACTAAAGATGTAAAATTTTCACCTGCTGTTGCAGATTTTGATTTTATTGTAGGGTTTTAAATATCAACATTCCTCCCTGAGAAGCCCATATATGTCTTTCTCCCCATTTAGGCAGGATAACGGTAGAGGCAGTGGGCTAAATGCATTGAGACTCCCAAGCATATTGTGTCTAGGTGAGCTGGAAGGAGAATGTAGAGAGATTGCAAAGGAATTTTGACCAATTAAGTAATTGGGGAAAAAATGTAGCAAGTGCAGAAATAGAAAACTATCAGCAGCAGAAACTGATCAGGTCTGGCAGCATCTTCATAAGAATGACTTGGACTTAAAATGTTAACTCTGCTTCTCTCCACACATGCTGCCAGGCCTGCTGAGTTTCTCTAGCACTTTTTCTTTTTATCTCAGATTTCCAGAATCTGCAATATTTTGCCTTTATTTTTGGAAATTATCCACTTGGCTATAAAGAATGGAAAAGCAGGTTATCTTTTTAATGGGCGAGAGACTAGAAAATGTTTTCAGAGAGATTTGTGTGTCTTTGTATACAAATCAGGCAGTTGAGGGTAATCAGATCAGCCATAATCTCATTGAATAGTGGAGCAGAATTTTTGAACCAAAGGGCTTACTTCTGTTCCTATGTTTTGTGGTCTTACGTTCTAACATGCAGTTGTGGTGAACAATTAGGAAGACAAGTGACATGTTTGTCTTTATTGCAAGGGGTTTGGGAAAGAACAATAAGGAAGCCTTACTGCAATTATACAGGCTTTGGTCAGACAACATCTATAGTGCATGCATACATACAAACATACGAATTAGGAGTAGTAGTAGGCCATTTGGCCCCTCTGCATGTACATACAATTGCATACATCCAAATTGTACAATTCTGACCTCCTTACCTAAGAAAGGATATACTTGTCTTTGAGTATTTGCAGTGAAGGTTGATTGATGCCTGGCATGAGAGGGCTGTTCTGTGGTGAGGAAAGGTTGTGAAGAATAGCACTATATTTCCCCAGAGTTTCGGAAAATGAGAGCTGATCTCCTTGAAACACATACAATTTGTAGAGTGCTGGATGCCGAGATGCTGTTCCCCTTCCTGGAGAATCTAAATACAAGTGTCATAGTCTTATGATTAGAGGAAGACTGAAATGAGAAGAAACATCTTCACTCCGGATTATGAATCTTAGGTATTCCTTACTCAGTTGCTGGACAGCTAGTTTGTGATGAAGAGTGGTGCCAACAGCATGGGTTCATTTCCTGCACCATCTGGGTTACCATGAAGGACTGTCCTTCTCAACCTCTCCCTTCACTTGAGACATAGTAACCCTCAGGTTAAAACACCACCCGTCGTCTCTCTGTAATGAGAGAGCAGCCCAATGGTCTCGTAAGACTATGTGACTTCAGCTTTACCTTAGAGAGATGTGTGGATGATCAGTCTTGAATTATATTCAAGATTGAAATTGATAAATTTTGCACATTAAACTAATCATGGAACACGGGACTAGGAAGTTGAAGTTGATGTTAAATTTTAACCGTGATCTAATTGAATGGCAAAGCAGACTTGCTGGGCAGTGTGGCCTACTCCTCATTTCCTTGGTTCTTAATCCACAGAACTGGTAAGAGAACCTTGAGATAGTTCCTAATTTAACAGCAAGAAGATTCTCAAAAAGTCCATAATTGGAGTGAGAGGGCAGTAGAGTCCTATTTCCTTTCAAGATTCATGCTGTTAAAGGTGGTCTCAGCTGAGACCATCAATAAAGACTCATTCCTGGGACTCTGCCTGCCCCTTTTAAAGTCCCCTGCCTCTCCTGCAGCAGTTTCCTCCTGTTTAGATCTGGGATGGCAGAAGACCTTATCATTCTCTCTATAAACTCTAAAACCATTAGTTACATCGTATTTCCTGGCCAATCGCACTGGACTGTAAACTCGTGGTGTGCTGTTTAACTGACTTTTAACCACCACATCTATATACAATCACCAGAAGTCACCTACTCCCCATACTTGTTTTACACATTTCTCTAGATTTGATCACTTCACCACCCTCTTCTGGCCCATC